TTTGTGAAACTGAGTAGAGAATTATCCCCTCTTCCTATGTAGTTAAAAATGTTTTTACAATTTAATAGTATTTGTTGCTGAATTCATAGATTTGGAGATTATTGAGTTTTTTTCAACTTGATTTGTACCTTTTCAGATTTGCTGCTTCATCTTGACCCATTTATGGCATTTGTTACATTGTCATGTATATTAGTATAAGCATTAAAAAAATTAGTTTTTTTCCTTTTGTATTGGGGATTTAAACCAGACTTGTGCATGCCAGGGAAGCACTCTACCACTGAGCTATATCTCTAGCCCTTGAAAGCAACATTCTTTCCCCTCCTTTTGTTTAATACAGTTACAAAAACAGAGTAATGGGATATGGGTATTTATATCTGGAAAACAATTTTTTTTTCATTAGTAGGTTTCAACTTTTTTTGATTAAAAAGTTTGAATGGTTGATATTACTAGTGTGATGTTTACAAAGAATAATTATGATTACTAGTGTCATTGTAGTTTTCACTGTAATTTAGTGAAAGCTGTGTACAATATAGTTTGATCAATTTTACCAGTTACCCCAGTTTTTCAAATAGTATTTACTAAGTTTCATTATGCTATCTTCACACCACACACACACACACACACACACACACTTTGATCCATTAACCTTCTTCTTCCTTCTTCCATATTGCTGATTTCTCCACCCCACAATTTTCCTTTATGCTCTTTCCCTAGCATCATCATCATCATCGTTTTAGAACTAGATTCCACAATATAAGCAAAAACATGAGGTTTGGGTTTTCTTGTTCATGATGATCTCCAGTTCTATCAATTTTCCTACAAACAATATAATTTAATTCTTCTTTATACCTAAAGAATATGCCATAGTGGACATGTACTAAATATTCCTTATCCATGCATTCTCCCATATATTGAATTGCACTCTTTCAGCTATATGCCCAAGAGTACTATTTTCCATAGTGGTTGTATTAATTTATATTCTCACCAACAGTATATAAGTGTCTCTTTGTCCCTGCAAAACAATATTCTTTACTCATATTTGAATATTATTATAATATCTGTAGTTTAAATTGCATCTTAGGCTGGGTGCAGTGGCTCACGCCTGTAATCCTAGCTACTCAGGGGACTGAGATCTGAGGATCGTGGTTCAAAGCCAGCCCAGGCAGGAAAGTCCATGAGACTCTTATCTCCAATAAACCACTAGAAAACTGGAAGTGGCGCTGTGGCTCAAGCGGTAGAGCGCTCGCCTTGAGCTGAAGAGTGCAGGGACAGCGCCCAAGCTGTGTTCAAGCCCCATGATGGACCAAAAAAAAAAAATTGCATCTTAGGTATTGCCTATTTTTTGATTTTTAGAAGTTCCATTTGCTTTTTTAAAATTAAATCATTTGTCTTCTTTATAACCCCCTCTTTTCTCCCTGTCCTGGGGCTTGAACTCTGGGCCTGGGCACTATCCCTGAGCTTTTGTGCTCAAGGCTAGTACTCTACCACGTGAGCCATAGCGCCACTTCTGGCCTTTTTTTTTTTATCCTGTTGTTTTAGTGGAGATAAGAGTCTCAAAGATTTTCCTGCTTAGGCTGTCTTCAAACCACAATCTTAAGATTTCAGCCTCGATTACAGGTTTGAGCCATAGGTGTGCCCAGCCTCTATAACCATTTTTTGTAAACCCTTGAATGCAAACCCTGATTAAACCTGCTTACAGTTATACTAGCTTTGAGAATGTTTTTATGGTAGTTGAATCATCTTTTTCATTTCATGGTTTGTTTCTATTAGACTGATTAGACTATTTTCATTCCTTAAAATGTAGGCTATTGGTCACATTTCCTTTCCTGTCCAGTACTGGGGACTGAGATCAGAACCTTCCACATGCTAGGCAAGTGCTCTACCCATCTCTGAGTTTAAAATTTTTGAATGCTCATTTTTTTTCTTTTGGTGGGGGGGACTGCTACCGTTTAAGCATACCCCCTCCTCCCACCCCGTTACAAGCTTGTTCTCGAGTATCTAGCTTGGAAGTACTGGGAATCAGAGGACCCTTTAAGAGGTAGGGCCTAATGAGAGGTCTTTAGGCCATAGACTCAGCTTTTGAAGGAGATAGTAGGTCTCTTACCTCTTTGCTAACTGGCCATGAGGTGAGTGGTTTTAATTTACTTCAGTAAAAGGTCATGGGCTGAAACCTCTATACTGTGAACCTAAATATACCCTTTTTTCTCTATAGATCAATTATATCAGATATTTGTTAGGATCTTTTGGAATTGTCAGACTTACAACCATACAATATGCTAGGAGTTACAAAGGGGATACACAGGAAGTTTCTTTTAGGTATCTGGCTGATAGCATCAATGTTTTAGCCAATGTGAGCATCAGACAAAATGAGCAACTTTTCAGATATTGTAGTCCTAGTTATGGAGTAACCTATTGCTGACAGTGTTTATAAGAAAGCAATTGTCCCTGCTGAGCTCTGACCAAATTTCTGTTTGTAAGCAAAATAAATTATTATTTTTGCCTTAAGAGGTTAAGTTTGTTATGGTCTTTATGTGGTAATCAATATCTGGAACAGATATCATACCATTAAGTGCTGTGATAGAAGTGGCCAATCAGCCAATTATTTAACAAGTATTTAGAATGTACCTACTGCTGGTCAAGTACTGAGTCAGAAAATGCTAATTTAAGTTTGACTGCAAAGTTAGAGACCTAAGATTTATCTAAATAGAGCAAACAGTAATAGTTGCTTCTCAGAAGATATGGAAGGGACATTTGGCTCTCTCCCTGTCCCCACCCCCAAAAAAGAAAAACAACTAGAGAGTATGGGGAAAAAAAAGCTCTGGGGAGATAAGGCACTCAGGGACCAGTTCTTTAATTAAATATGTAATACTAAAGAATTAGGGTTTAATCCAGAAGGCAGGAGAGACTCTGTATTTGTAATCAAATACTTAATGACTAAGTCTTCCAATAAAGGTTTCTACTCCAGTAAAAGTTAAATCACATAAGCCTCCTTATCCCTATGTCATTTCCAGAATCTAGACTAGATCCTGGGATGCAGAAGGAGTTAATAAATATTTATATAGGCCATATAAAAATTTTAATATTGTATCAGATTTGTGTTAGATAAGCCATTCTTTTGTTGTTGTTGCTCATGAGGCTTGCACTCAGGGCTTAAGGCATTGACTAGTGCTCTAGACTAGTGCTCAAGACTAGTGCTCTACAACTGTGGAGCCACAGCTCTACTTCCAGCTTTTTGGTGGTTAATTGGAGATAAGAGTCTCAGGTACTTTCCTGCCTGGGCTGGCTTCAAACTGTGATCCTCAGATACTCAGGAGGATCAACAGCTGTGTGAGCCACTAGCACCCAACATGCTTGCAGTCATCTACAGAATTGTTCACATATCTGTACTTGTGTTAGCGTGGTCTTCCACAACAAAAGACCAGACTGACTGAAATAGCACAAATTAATTATTTTACAGTAATGGAAGCTGGAGGTATAAGATCAAGATATGAGCAACATTGAGTTCTGATGAGAACTCTTAATTGCTTGTAGATAGCTGCTTTTTCACTGTCTCATAACACAGAGAAAAAAATGTGGTATCTCTTTTCACAAGGGCACCAATCTAGAGCCCCAAGCTTCATGACCTCATCTAAATCTCATTATCTCTCTTAGGACCCATCTCCAAATACCATCACACTGGGATGAAGGATTCAATATAGGAATTTTGAGGTATACACTTAATTCCATAGCAGTGGGCAAAGAGAAAATGTAATAGGAGATGAATGTTACTTTAATTTCTTCCACTCCCTTCACCCCTCCCCTCATATCCCAAGAAATCCAAGAGTGTCTGAAACTGTATATAATATTGAACCATATAAGCCACACACGTGTGTATATAATATCTGCATAAAGTATTTTCTCTCCAATTGACCACCAAAAAGCTCAAGTGATAGAGCACTTGCCAGTGAGCACAAAGAAATCTCAGGGACAACACCTAGGCCTTGAGTTCAAACCCCTGAACAGGCAGGCAGGCAGGCACACACACATACACACACACACCCCTACACGTACTTACCCTGTAAGCAAGCACTGTATACTGATACTAATCCAACGGTTGGCATGCCAATATTGTTTTCCATGTTATGTCTGGAATTATAATTTGTTTATCGTTTACATGATGGCAATTTACATGAAAGAGGAGCTTCCAAAAGTTGTGCAAAATCTCCAGCTGGTGTTCCTTAAAATTTCTACACAATAGAGACTATTTTTAAACTGTAACGTTATGAAATCGACATTTAGAATTGCTAGCCATCAACTGCTACTCCAGGTCTCAGTTTCCGCTTTCCTTTCTCAGGTTTGGGCGTCTAATCCCGGGCGGGGGAAACTCCTTCTCCTCTGCCCTGCACGCGGCCGGGTGACAGCACGGTGAGTCAGGAGGCGTCCACGCCCTGTCATCCGTGACTCGAGCTTCTGGGATCCCGGGTAAGCGCGGTGAGGTGACCTCGGCCCGACACCCCCTCTTTGGGGACCTTAGAGCCGATTCCTTCCCCTCACAGGACCCCATCTAAGCAAGGGTCCTGTGCCCCCGGTCCCGAAATCACACTCCTCAAGGCCTTTTTACTCAGCAGACCACCCCCAAAGACTTTCCATCTCCCCTTCCAAGGACTGCAAGGTTACACCAGCCGACCACATACACAAGTAGGCGCGGGGCGCAGCCCGGCGCTCGGCTGGACCCACACGAACCCTCCTTTCCCTTTCTCCTCCGTCGGAGTCACTCCGGGGGTCCTTAGACGGCTTAGGCGCGCCTGAAGGACCCTATCCCTCGGAGACCCCCTGGCCCGAAGGAAAAACATTCCGTCGTGGTTACACGCACGAGAGACCAGAAGCAGGGTGGGGAAGGGGACCCGCTTGGGTGGGTCCGGGGCTGGTGGGGACGGGTTCTTGTCAGGTTTGTCTCCGGCAGAGCCGAGGTCGCCTGGGTTCCCGACATGCCCCGCGCCGGGGTCCTTGTTCGCTTTGCTGTTGCCGCCGCGGCCACCGAGGTTGCTCGGGGTGGGTGAGAGGTGGAGCCGCCGGGGCGTCTGAAGGAAATCGGTGTTTGGCCCCGGGGGAGGGTGGGAGGGGGAGTCGTTGGTTTCCCTTCTTCTCACCCCGACTCCCGTGGTGTGGAGGGGGAGGCCCCGTGGGCCTCTCGGCACGCCGTGGACATGCCTCTCTTTGCCACCAATCCCTTCGACCAGGATGTGGGTGAGTGTCTGGCCGCTCCCGGTCCCCACCCCCCCCCCCCCGGGCCGCCAGCCCCCCTCGGGCCGCCCCGGGGAACGTTCTAGACGCCGGGGCCTTGGGGGCAGCTCTTCCCTTTCTCCTCCGAGGCTCTTTAAAAAGAAAAGCTTGGCGCTCCCACCCCCCCCTTTAATTTTGAGGATTGGGACCCCCAAGAAGCTCTGCGGGGGGGGGGTCTGGAGCTCGGGCCGGGCTGACCCCCCCCCCCCCCCAACTTCGGGGCTGGGGAGGAGCCGCTGGGACTTCGCTTCTGGAAGACCTGGGAAGGGCTGAGGCGTCTGTACCTCGGCTCGAGTAACCAGACTGCAAGCCCCAGAGCAAAAGTTGTTTATCCCCCCACCCTCGGCCAGATGCAAAGAAGAAGAAGAAGAAGAAAAGCATTGGAAAGTAGCGGAATGGTTTCCGAGGACGTCCCTGCGTCTAAAGAGAGGTTTCCGATCTCCCTTGTTAACGGTCCCCGGAGGCTCGGAAGAGCGCGGCGCGGCGCCGGGGTGTAGGCTAGAAGGTTGGGAAAGACGAGATAACTTGGCCCCAGCTTGTGAGCACGGGGCGACTGACTCGTAAGACGCCTTTCTCTCAACGCTGGGTCGCGGTGCTTTTTGAAAGGAAGCGTGGAGGAGGAGGACTTTGAAGTCTCACCCAAGTGTTGTCCGCAGTGCTGAGTCTTGGTTGTTTGGGGAATGAATCTTGAGTGTTAGGGACTGCTCGTCACCGATTCAACAGGTTAGCTTCTCGGTTGGCTGGTTTGTTGTGTTTTCCTGGCCCGAAGATAATCATTGTTGGATGTGAGTTTGAGGGTGACTCGAATGCACTTCGGAACCATCTTGACACGAAAGTGTGCAATAAAAGCCAGCCAAATGTCATATTCAGGTCCTGTGAGGCAGGATTTAACAGTTCCTATTATAACCAAAGAATATAGCAGTTTATGCATCTTTATTCTTTGTGCCGCTCCTGAGACTTGAACTTGGTCTGGGCGCTGTCCGTGAGCTTATTTGCTCAAGATAAGCACTCTGTCACTTGAGTCTCCGCTCCACTTCTGGCTTTTGGGCGATTAATTGAAGGTAAAGAGTTACACAGACTTTGCTGCGATCCTCAGATCTCAGCTTCCTGAGTAGCTAGGATTACAGGCATGAGCCAGCAGTGCCCAGCTGCATCTTTATTTTGGTTGAGGTTTGGATTATCATTAGAAATGATTCAATTCAGCCACTGCTGTCTTACAACTTGCAAGGCAATGTAGACTCTTTGAGTTCCAGTGTTTCATCTTTAAGGAAGGGAAAACAATTTTGTTCTGTGATTTAATGAAATAGTATATGTAAGAGTCCTGACTACTGTGCCTTTATATAGCAGGTACTCCACAGATGGTTATTTTTGTTGTAGTTTGCATGTCTTGATCTTAGCAGTGGATGGAACTTCAGAAATCCCCAGTAATTCAAAATAAGAAATAAATTGGCAAATTATACATAATTAGCACTTGGCACACTACATAGTGCTCATTGATTTAAGAGACTTAAGACATACGATAAACAAGACCTGGTTGCTGCTCTTAGGCAGCTTTACAACTTACTACATCCATCTCTCTACGGCGGATACTAAAATAAAACAACTTGGTACTTGCCGCACCTTACTTCCAGCACCTTCAGTATCATTTTGGGGCTACTATACTAACTGGCTACCAACTAGCCAATTGCCTTTATAGCCTAATGACTTGGTTTGTTTTTATGATGCTATGAATTGAACCTAGGGCCTCATGCATGTTCCTGCTGAGTTTTTTGAACCCACATCTGCATTAGTTTCATATAAATTTCTTTTTTTTTTCTTTTTTTCTTTTTTGGGTCCGGTCGTGGGGCCTGAACTCTGGGCCTGGGTGCTGTCCCTCAGCTCTTTAGCTTCTTTTTTGCTTATGTGGTGCTGAGGAATCGAACCCAGGGCCTCATGCATGCAAGGCAAGCGCTCTACCACTGAGCCCCCTTCCCAGCCCTCATATAAATTTCTCAGTGTCAAACCTGTTCTGTATCTACACCACCCAATTCAAGTACAGGCTCCTCCTTGCTTTCCTGCTTTTGTTTCTTCTTTCTTTCTGCACATCCCTGTGTTTTAAGGCTACCTCAGAATCCAGCTGGTTATACCTGAATTGTTTCCTGATTATCCTAACCTGCAGTCTTAGTAGCAACATGATTGATAGGGCTACATAAATATCCTTGGGTTCAGGCCGGGAAAGATTGTGGTCTGTCCTTTACATTGTAGATTTTATGTGTTGATTCATCCTCGTCCTTAATAGATTTGTGTTGTGTCCCTACTGCCTGCCACTCAAGGTTTTAAAGGTTTGTCAAAATAGCTCCCAATTGAGAGCCGAGAGCCACTGCTATATAGTCTATTGTAATTTTCATGAAAACCAGTTTAGCAGGGTTTTTTGGTTTGTTTGTTTTTTGTCTTGAACTCAGGGCCTGGGAGCTATCCCTGAGCTCTTTAGCTCAAGGCTAGTGCTCTACTACGTTGAGCCACAGTGCCACTTTCGGTTTTCTGGTGATCAAAGTCTCACTGCCCGTCTGGCTTTGAACTGTGATCCTCAGATCTCAGCCTTCCGAGTAGCTAGGATTAAAGGCATGAGCCACAAGTGCCGACTTTTATGTTTTGCTCCTTACTTTGGTGGCTACATAGTGGACTCTTTCTTCCTTCCCACAAGGGCCTGTGCTTGCTAGACAAGCACTCTGTTATTTGAGTAGAGCCCTAAGTCCATTCATAGAAGGTTTTAAATAAATGGTTGTTGTTTTGTTTTGTAGGTTGTAGGGCTTGAACTCAGGGCCTGGGCATTGTCCCTGAGCTCTTTTTGCTCAAGGCTAATGTTCTGATGCTTTGAGCCACAGCTCCACTTCCAGTTTTTGAGTGGATATGGAAGATGAGAGTCTCTTGGGGACTTTTCTGCTTGGGCTGGCTTTGAGCTGCAATCTTCCCATCTCAGCCTCTGGTATAGCTAGGATTACAGGCATGAGCCACTGGCACCCTGCAAATCAATGTTTTTTGAGTAAGAATATGTACGTTGAAACTGCTAGATAGATTTTTTTTTTCAATATTGAAGTTTGATCTCAGAGCTGTGTGCACGCTACTGTGAGCCATGCTTGTATAGCCCTTTCAGTTGCTGGTTACTTTTATAACAGGATCTTATGTCTTGGGAATATGACTGGACCTTTATCTCCCTATTTTAGGCTTCCTATCATTGCTAAGTGACAGCATGTTCCACCATGCAATTCTTACATGATTTTCTCTACCTTAGCTGTCCTCAAACCATAATCCTCTACTATCAGCTTCTCAGGTAGCTGTAGTTGTGAGCTGCTGACACTCAGCTGACTAACCTTCTTGAATATAGGAACACTGCTTTGTTCTAGAAAAACTTAGTCATTTGTGGATTGGGAGGCAGTTCTCATGTAGCTCAGGCTGGCCACAAACTCAAGATCTCCCTGCCTCAGCCTCGAAAATATGGAGACTATGGGTATGTATCACCATACCTAGCAGGGAAAAACTTGCTTTTTAAAGTTCATCAAACTTTGTTTATGTGGATCAATTCTCCTCATGATGTGTGTTTTGAAACATCCTGAAAGTTTATGTAAGAAGCCCCTTATACTTCCAGTTAATCCTTGGAAAGAATCCATAGTCTCCCATATTCAGTTGTTTATAGAACTGCATGTAAAATACAGTATGTAGAATACATTTTACCAATATTATTTTCCAATGTATCTGTCAGTTAGTATGCCAGTTATAGTAAAGCATTCCATTTAACTCATTTGTTATTTTAAATCACTTAACATTGAGTACATTTTCATGTTTTCAAAATTTACTAACCTTATTTATATACAGAATCTGTTACTCAGAAATTGACTGATTTATATAATATAGTTTTTGTTGTTGTCGTTTTATGGTTTTTTGGAGGGTTGGGTAGCAGTACTGAGGATTGAGCTTAGGGCCTTATGCTTGGTAGGCAAGTGCTCTGCCACTTGACCGTGTACCTTCAGTCCTTTTGCCTTTAGTTTGTTTTTCAGATAGGGTCTCAAGCAAGCTTCTATCCTGGATGCTATCTGACTATCATCCTACTTCTACCTTCTTGAGTATCTGGGGCCATGGCATACATCTCCATACTTTTGTCTAGGATACCACTGAACTTTATTCCTCTTAAGATCTCTACCTCCAGAGTAGCTGGATACAGTTGTATGCCACATGCCCAGCTAAACTTTTCTTAAATTAAGGCAGAATGCTAGCAGTAGCTTTTTCTTGAAGTAACACATAGACATAGGATTATATTTTTAGTTGTAGTACAAGGATTTTTGTTTCATTTGTTCCCTGCTGTACTTTAAGCATGTAGACTATGTCTGTCATCAAAAAATGTTTACTGAATAAATCTCATGTGGACATATTTCTTCTAAGTTATGAAGATAATTAAAAGTCTCATTTCATCAAGTTTTCATGTATAAGTCACTGCCAGGCACCAGTGGCTCACACCAGTAATTCTAGCTACTTAGGAAGCTAAGATCTGAAGATCATGGTTTGAAGCCAGTCTTGGCAGGAAAGTCCATGAGATGCTTATCTCCAATTAATCACAGAAAAAGCTGTCGCTGAGGCTTGAGTGGTAGAGCTCAAGGCTACTTGAGCCAAAAGTAGCTCAGGGAGAGCGCCTAGGCCCAGAGTTCAAGCACCAGGATGGCCCAGAAAAAAAAAAAAAGTCACTACTGACCTACATCTTATCAAATGAATTTTTCACCTATTTCTTTGTGGATCACTTAAATAGTTCTCTTCAATATACTCTATTCCTGGGTTTTCAGTGCCCCAACTGCCTTCTGTTATGCTATTACCTTTTTATTTGCTGCTTCTTACAGTGTCTGAGTATATATTGGTGTTCAGTTCACAAAGCTCTTCAGCACTTTTTGCTCTTGGAGTTTTGGGAGACAACTTCTTGTTAGGAATTCAGCCCTGGA